TCCCTCTCTCTCTCTTTTGCATAAAGAAAATAATTGAACTTTGTAATCATTTTACCTTTTCTGAGTTGCGTTTTGGTACAACCACTCCCAAAAGGTTTACACCACAATAAAATCAAAATTATAAGATATTATTTATTAATTAATTTATATACTTCCTCAAGCAGGTCCATGAAAAGGTGAAATAGATAGTTATTAAATAAATAAATAATGTGCTGTCTTGCTCCTTGGAATCACAGTGACTTATAGCAACCATATCAAATGCAATTAGCTCAGAACCACAATGATAGTTTGCATAAAACAGCAATGATTTCACCAAAAGAAGCAGTGACCAATCCTGCAAAAAATACAGCCCAAGTAACTCGACAGGTAAGAAAGCCCTGCAGAAATCTCCACTGTACGATTTTTCCTAACAGTCAGCAGAGAAGAAGCCCCTTTCACATACTCAGGCATGCTATGCCTTAATGTAGGGGTGTCAAACATGCGGCCTGGGGGCCAAATCAGGCCCCCGGAGAGCTTCTATCAGGCCCACAGTGGAACTGGCTGTGTTCTGCTTCTTCTTCCAGTTCTGCTGCTGTTACATCACAGTAGGTTTGCAGCTTACAGATACACACCTGAACAGCACACTCAAGATTGCAACAGCACAGAATTTTTAAAAAATAATTTATTCATAAAATTTGCCATTTTATACAGCCACATATTTCACACTTTCTCTATATTTTCAGAGTCTTTTACATAAAGTTATTTTCCCACCATGTATACACTCTTAACCATCTTTTTTGGAATAGGGTTTCATCTTTCCCATTAATTAACATAGTTAATTTGTCCATTTCTGCAGTGTCCAGCAGTTTCAAAGCTATTTCCTGTCTAGAGAGTAGTCTCTCATTTTTTCCAATATTGGGCTAGTAATATTCTTAATGATGTTAGGATATAACACTAGGTAGGGCATGTAGCTTCAAGTCTGGAAGGAAAGAGAGCAAAGCTTATGTTTAGTCTTCTGTAACTGCCTACTTAGTGTTTTCGGTTTTCTTTTTAGAGAAACCTGTTTAAACAGATGCATTCTGAAGGTCATGGAGCTCTGTGCTACTTCTTTCCAGGAAGTGAGAGAGAACCTGAACTAGTCTAGCAGCTTTTGAAGGCTAGTAGGGCAACTGTAAACTGATGGCTGGCAGGGGAGTGACATCTCTAGGAGATGGGTGAGACAAAGGGTGAAAGGGGAAGAACCAATCCCATTGCAGAACCGGTACTCCAGCTTAACAATTGGGAACTTGACAGCTGCATTGTCTTGATGGGTGACAGGATACCTGGAATGCTGTCACTGGGTGCCACAAGGCACGTCCTTTTGTCTTAGGTGGAGGAATTGTGGTGGCCTTTGGTGGTGAAGTTAACACATGGAGGTGGGGGGGAAGCCTCCCTGGGATTTCCTTATGGCTTCTCTCCCAGAACATCTGTTCTTGGGCAAAGCATGGTTTCTCTTCTGATCTGCTGCGGTCTCTGTGTGCACGGAGGTCAGAGCTGCTGATCTGCATCCTGTTGCTGGTGCAGGAGTTCAGTGACAGAAGGCTTCTGTAGTCCCTGGTCCACATCTGGTTAGGCATACTGTTTAGGCTCAAGGTTTCCCTTGGCCATAGTGTATCATCCATAATCCTGCTGTTGGGAACGCGGCTCTGCTCCTTGTCCTGGCACACATTTTGCACAGTTCAGTAAGACATATTCAGAGTCTCTCATAAAGCTGTTAAACAAGGCTGTATGGCAACACAGGTGAAATCCAGTTGATTGTTTCCAGCCCTCCAGTATCACCCACAATCTTAGAGTGCCATAGACAGAGGCTAAGAGCAGAGCTACAGGAGAGATGACATAGTGCACACCTTCTAGCCTGATGTCTGAATAGTTTCAGGATTACCCCAAGCAGCTGGCTGCAAGCATGGCCCATAAGCATATTCTGAGAAAGTAATGTATCACAAATGTACTGTTCTTGTTTATCGCTTCTTTGTTTAATAAAAATGTTTAATTAAAAAAAAAAGCATATGGCTATAAAAACCAGCCAAGGGAGGCTGTTAGGTGTGGAAGCAACAAGTTGAAATTCTTCTCTGTGACCACTGCATTGGATCCTGTCTTGACGCTGTGAATCTTTTGACCATTCCCTGAATCTGCCTTCATCTCACTCCTGAACCTGCTGATGGGTCAAATAGGCCAGGACCCTACCTGTTATCCGTACAAGTTAATTCTTGAGAAGGAGGGATGACTTAGAGTAAATAGAAGCCCTATATCCTGATCTTGTATTTTAAGATATTAGGGATCCAGTTTTATATGGAATTGTGACGGCCAATGGCCACATACAATAAACTTTATTCTGTGATATATCCTGATCTTAGGCATGTTAAGTAAGAAGTCAGTCCTGAGTTCCAGCTGAGCTGAGGTAGTGGGAACAGTTCAGCATCTCTTGTCTTCAGACTCTATAATACATCTCTCAGGGGTTTTTCACATTACCTTAAAAATCCACTTGCATTACCTGATGTAAATGTGTTTTTTCCCTTGCGTTCACACAACTTCATAAACATCCCAGCACTCTCTCATATCTTCCCCTTTCCCCTGTTCCTAATAACACTAGTTTCTCCTGCAATTTGGGGGGGGGGAACTGAAATGTATTCACAACAAAGCCTCTGCTTTGTAATCTGAACTAAGTTTTTCACATTGGTGACTTACGGCATCCACCCGCCTGCCAAGAGCTGCCCAGAAATGGCAGGTTGGTGTGGGTGGTTTTTAAAATTTGTATCTCGAAGGCAAAACATTTCCACAATCGAAGACGTTGGGGTAGCTTCCTCTTTTCTGCCTTGCCAGTGCACCTGTCTCTCTCTCTCATGTCCCCCTCTTCAATACCAAAGCCAATGGTGGAAATAAATTATCTTTTGTGCTTCAGCTTCTGTGCTTTACACAAGAGTAAATGGAGCTATTTTCATGTAAAGAAAGTGAACAAGGCTGCTGAAATGCTCAAACATGTCAACACATATGCAAAAAGGGTGGGCCACCAGAACAGATGCAGCTCCTGAGGGGAAGTCTGAATAGCGTGATAATCAGCAGCAGCAAAACACACGAAAACACAAAAGGCAGCTGCAGTAGGTGATGTGAAAGATCTGGCAGTAGGTGATGTGAAATACCTCTGCCTGAGATCTTGGACAGCCACTACCAGTCTGAGTAGACGATACTGACTCTGATGGACCAAGGGTCTGATTGAGAATAAGGCAGCTTCATGTGTTCATGTGTTCTACTCTGTCTCTACGAAGGGCTGTTCTGAGTGAAACTCAGCTGCACAGCTAACTGTGCCATTTTATAAATATTGGATTAAAAATGATCACCCAGAGATTGTAGGGAAGGCCCTGGTAGGTGAATTACTTTATTGATCATGTTTGTATCCCACCCTTTGCTGAAGAGCACAGAATATCAGAACATTTTGACCTTTGCCTTCTAAGAGGAATGTGGGGGTTAACCCATCTTGACTGCCGGTCCTCACTGAACGAGAATCAGACAGTTACATAAATACAGACTAAAATCCTCTACCTCAAACTTCTCCTGAGCAAACCCCATTGAAATGGATAGGAAGGCATCTGCTAATGATTTCAATAGGAAAGCTCAAAGTGGCTTAGGCTCAAGACAGACCTTGTGCAGTAAATAATCCATTCTCACGCACAAAAAGACAAATGTTCAGACTCACACGCACAAATGATAAACATCACACACTAGAGAGATCCGCTGCAATTAAAGCTCAAAAATAATGTTATCAAAAATTAAACACTCACAGTTGGTTCTTGAATGAATCTGGAGAAAACCTTCAATTATAGAGGCTCTCTGACACCCTCAGATGGCTTAGGGTTTGTTCATTACAAACTCAAACATAAAGTGAAAGAAAAATAATTTCTGAAGCCTCCTTCAATAGACTCTGAACCAATCCAAGCAACCAAAGCAAAGCCTTTCCTGCTCCACCCCACCCTTGCCTGTTGTTAACTTTTGTTTCCTCTGTCAGTTTCATTTCCAGGAAATCACATTTGCAATTTCTGAACTGAGTCATCAACTGGGAATAGAATATGAGCAATAAAATTCATTCTGAAATCAAAAGGCCTTGAATTTAAAATTGGGATTAAAATTGATCAATGATATGTTGGTTTAATGAGAGATAGTCCTTTAAAAAAACTGTTCATGGCAGTGAAAACCAGGGAGGACTGTGAGGTGCTCCAGAGGGATCTGTTGAGGCTGGATGAGTGGGCATCAACATGGCAAATAAGGTTCAACGTGGGCAACTGCAAAGTAATGCACATTGGAGCCAAAAATCCCAACTATAAATACACATTGATGGGGTCCGAACTGGTGGTATCTGACCAGGAGAAAGATCTTGGAGTCATGGTAGATAACTCACTGAAAATGTCAACTCAGTGTGCAACTGCAATATAAAAGGCAAATGATATGCTGGGGATTGTTAGGAAGGGAAATGAAAACAATCAGCCAGTATCATAATGCCCCTGTATAAATCTATGGTTCAGTCTAATTGGAATACTGTGTACAGTTCTGGTTACCGCAACTCAAGCAAGATATAGCATTGGAAAAGGAGCAAAAAGGGCAACTAAAATGCTTAAAGGGATGGAACACTTTCCCTATGAAGAAGAGTTAAAGAGGTTAGGGCTCCTTAGCTTGGAGAAATGACAACTGAGGGGTGACATGATAAAGGTTTATAAAATTATGTGTGGGATAGAGAAGGTAGAGAAAGAAGTACTTCTCTCCAGGGGTCATTTCCTGCCGGAGTGCACAGGAGCTGAGCTCCGGCAATAAAGAGCCCAGGGGGCGGGAACATGCAACAAGCCCCACCCCCTGCTCTCAGAAGCCCTCAGTCAGAGCAAGAAGCAGACAGGTAAGTTGCAGAGCCCCTCCCCGGGCCCCCAGGCCAAAACAGTCCAGTGGCACCTTTAAGACCAAGTTTTATTCAGGTACATTCGAAATGACCCCTGCTTCTCCCTTTTTCACAATGCAAGAACTCGTGGGCACTGAATGAAATTGATAAGCAGTAGGTTTAGAGCAGATAAAAGGAAGTACTTCTTCACTCAAAGAGTCCTTAACACGAGGAATTCACTGCCACAGGAAATGGTGGCAGCTGCTATTACTACTACTACTATACTACTACTACTATTATTATTATTATTATTATTATTATTATTATTATTATTATTATTATTATTATTATTCACCCCATCCCTGCAATCACAGGGCTCTGAATGATGTACAATGACATTTAAAACATTGACCAGATAAAAACAATAAATCATATTAGAATACATTTTAAAAGACAGATGGTGAATACACGCACTTATTAATGAATTGCTCCCATATTACAAACTGCCGGTCACTTTGTGGGCAGGGGAAGAGGTTGAGACGAGCATGGAAAAACAGAAGAGGGTGCCAGCCAAGATGAAAGCCATCACTGTCCTCAACCAAAGGCCTGGCGGAACATCTCTGCCTTGCAGTCCCTGTGGAATTGCATAAGATCCCACAGAACACTGATGGTATTTGGCAGAGAGTTCCACCAGGTTGGGGCCAGGACTGAAAAGGCTCTAGCCCTGGTTGAGGACAACCGGATATCCTTAGGGCCGGGGACTACCAGAATGTTGTTATCCAAAGAGCATAGCACTCCTCCGGGGACATAACGGAGGAGAAGGACTCGTAGATACGTTGTTCCCTGACCACTCAAGGCCTTATGGGTCAAAACCAAAACCTTGAACTTGACTCAATATTCCACTGGGAGCCAGTGCAGCTGGCTCAGCACTGGATGTATATGCACTGTCCATGATGTTCTCATCAGGACTCGCACCGCCGCATTCTGGATCAGCTGGAGCTTTCGGGTCAGTCTCAAGGGCAGGCCAGCGTAAAGCAAGTTACAGTAGTCTAGCCTGGAGGTGACCATTGCATGGATTACCATGGCTAGGTCAAGGAGTGACAGGAAGGGGTCCAGTTGCTGAGCCTGGCACAGATGAAAGAACACCACTTTGGCAATGTATGTGGCTTGGGCCTCCATATTCAAGGAGGCATCCAAGATCACTAACAAGCTCTGGACAGATTGCGCCAGTGTTAGTGGCACTCCATCAAAGCTGTACAAGCATAGACTGTTTCAAGAGGGGACCAGATAAACTTATGGAGCAGAGGTCCATCAGTGGCTATTAGGTATAGATATAGATGGAACACTATGTCTGAGACAGTGATACTCTGTATCCTTGGTGCTTGGGGGCAACAGCGGGAGGGCTTCTGAAGTTCTGGCCCTGCTGGTGGACCACCTGATAGCACCTGGGTTTTGGCCACTGTGTGACACAGAGTGTTGGACTGGATGGGCCACTGGCCTGATCCAACATGGCTCCTCTTATGTCCTATATGTTCTAAAAAATCAATATTTTCCAGTGTACTTTAAACAGTAGAGTGTAACACTATGCATGATTAACCAAAAATCTAACCAGTAAAGTATTCTAGCATTAAGACCAATTTAGGAAGCTTGAATTTAGACAGAGAGGAGTTTTTAGTTGGAGTTGGCTAAACAATGTGATTGGCACAGGGAAAAAATGGTTTAAAGAAACCAGAAAGCTTTGTCAGTGTGCCAATGACCTGTAGAAGCACGATCACCAAAGGAATCCATCTGGAAGTGGACTTCCTAGTAACAGAAGGAAACACTGGACCTACTATGAGGATTTTCGTCTCATTGATAGAATGAAAGGCATCCTGTGATAAGTTATATCTCCTACTTGCTCCACAGGCAGGGCTAGGCAAATGATTTTGCAGTGCCTCTATTTCCAGGTAGGGGTGAGCCCCACCATTCTTGCAGGCTTCAAGTCCAGACAAATTCCCTAGAACTTTTGAGGAAACCTCCCTTGAATGATTTTGTAATTCCTATTCCAGGATTCCTCCATCCACACAGGCGGAAAGGATAGGGATGTCAGGGATGCTCTAGGCTGATCCCGCATTGAGCACGGGGTTGACTAGATGGCCTGTATGGCCCCTTCCAACTCTGTGATTCTATGATACCTTCCATTCCAAAAATGAGAAGAAACCCACTTAGTAAAACCAATGTCTCATTCTTCATCAGTGCAGGAAGGTATCCTGAGATGGGACATTGAAAAGCTGTGCCATCCCAAGTGCTTTAAACTGAGGGAAGGAGTCAATTGAGTGCAGGAGGAGTTACTGGGGGACCACCTGATGAAGAACTCTCCTGCTGAAGACTAGATCTACAGACCTATTTGTGTTCAGTTTGTAGTGTCTGACAAAGGTAGAGGCTGATGTCCTGTTAACTGCCCTGCAGATTTCTGCAGTGGAAGCCAGGGATCTGGAGAACAGGAATCAACTTCATCAGAAGAATGCCTGGGGTCCGGTCTATGGCGGCGCACCGAGCAGACTCACCTCCCGGACCTCCCAGGGGGTGAAAGCTGTGCATCAGCAGAAAGGAGGGGGGTGGGGAATCGCTACCTCCCACGGAGCCTGGCTGAAAGGCTCCTAGCCAGGGGACTTTTGAGAGGTCGCCTCTTCGCCAGCACACTGCTGGGGAATCAAGGCGCTTCTCCATCCCGATGGTCCTCCTGCTGAGTGTCTGAATGGAAGAAGCGATGCTGACCGGGGCAAGCGCTGGAGATCGAGCAGTTAAAACGGAGGCTAAACGAGGTTGTATGACCGAAGATAAACTGTGAGTCGGATTAAGGTGTATTTGCAATTCAAAAAGAAAGCTCCCTACCCCACGGACTAGAAAGTAAAGCGAGCGGGGAAGGGGCCCCTCCCATGCGCATAAACTTAAAAGCGAGACCAGGGGGGGAGCGGAAACAAAAGTGACGAAACCTGTTGGGAAAGACTTACCAAGGCGTGTATGAGCATTTGAGCACATAATCAGAGACTTTGCTAATCTTTGCGAAAGTAAACAACTCATAAAGATGGTGGGGAAGAGGACGGAGAAGGAGAAACTTTTAAAAGCGAAAGTAGCTGAGAGTCCACGACCAGAAGGAACCATCAAGTTGGCCAAAACGTTGGCAGAGTCCCTGCGCCCCCTGCTGGATCAGATGACTAATCTCAAGGAACAGCTGTCAACAATGAACCAATGTATCACTACTCAGCAGACACAATTGAATTAGACTCTTAAAATTACGGAACAAACAGCTGAGAAAGTGAAAGAAGTTGACGCCACTGCTCAAAAGGTGAAGAAAAAGGTACAAAAATTGGAAAAGAAGCAAATTTCAACAGAAGAACAGCAGCAGACACAATTGAACGAGACTCTTAAAATTACGGAACAGCTGAGAAAGTGAAAGAAGTTGATGCCACTGCTCAAAAGGTGAAGAAAAAGGTACAAAAATTGGAAAAGAAGCAAATTTCAACAGAAGAACAGCTTTTACAATTACAAATGGAGAAGGCAAACCTGGTCCTTCGTTTCCAAGGTGTCCCAGAGACTAAGGGTGAGAATCTGAAGCAAATGATGAGCGAAGCATTGGAAGTGACAGATTTGAAGGTGGACTATCTCATGAGTGAAATGGATGTGGCCTACAGGTCCTATTCCGTATACATAAAGAAGAAGAATCTGCCTGGGGAAATAGTAATGAGATTCTCGAAGAGGCACGTGAGGGATTGTATCCTGAGAGCGACGGCGGGGACACCCTTGAAAATCAGGGACAGTACCATCAGGATTCTGAAAGATATCCCATTTGAAATAAGACAAAGGAGAAAGAAATATAAAGATTTAATTCTTTTTCTTCTAACAAATGCAATTAGCTACTGGTGGTTATATCCAGAGGACGTTACCTTCAAACTTCAGGACAAAAAAGAAAAGATTGACTCTGTTTCCAAAGCACGGGACTTTCTGAGAATTAAGTTGGG